GACTCGATGGCAACAACAACAACAACATGTCAGGCAAAAGGGCGAAGATCAAGACCCCCAAGAAGCACCTTCAGTGCACTACATCCAACATGTTTGCCATGTTTGATCAGTCACAGATAGGAGTTCAAAAGGCCTTCAACATGATTGATCTGAACAGAGATGGCTTCATTGATAAGGAAGATTTGCATGATATACTTACCTCCCTGGGAAAAAATCCAACTCATGAGTATCTGGATGCCATGATGAATGAGGCTTCAGGTCCCACCAAGTTCACCATGTACCTTACGATGTTTGGGGAGAAGCTAAATGGAACAGATCCTGAAGATGTCAACAGAAATGCTTTTGCTCCCTTTGATGTAGAAGCAACTGGCACCATTCAAGAAGACTACCTGAGAGAGCTGCTGGAAACCATGGATGATTGGTCTACAGGTGAGGAAGTGGATGAGCTGTACAGAGAAGCACCTGTTGACAAAAAGGGGAATCTCAATAACATTGACTTCATGAGCATCCTTCAACGTGGGGCAAAAGGCAAGGATGACTGAACAAATTTCAAATTCCAGCTGAACATTCCTTATTGCTACTTTGGGGGTCTTTTAGACTTTTTCTCTCAGAATCTATCGCATGCCCTTAGCTTTACAGCTTTTGCTTTTTTGTTGTATTTATTTTCAGTCATTTTGGGCACATACATCTCTATAATCATATTAGAAACGGGAATTAAGTTGAAGTAAAATAGAGCTGGGAGAAAGGTCATTGCCTTACCAAAACCTAAGGAAAATACTCTGAGATATTTTCTAGTTTACTGAATTTTCACATTTTTTGATAATAAAAACTTTAAAAACAAACATTGTGACCCAAGTCACCTAATGCTAATTATTTTTGTCATTTTCAGAAGAGAAAACTATGGTAATTTAACTGCCCAGCTCCTCCTACTCCCAAATTATTGCAGCCTACACAGAATCACATTTTCTCAGGCAAAGTTATCCGCTCATTTTTTCCTAGACCATAATTAAATTTTATGTT